CAGTCTTCAGCTCTGATGAAGTCCGAAACTTTCGTTTCCAACCAAGACTGCGTAGACCGAGCTTTATGACCTGGCGCCGAGTCTTGCTGGAAGGACCATTCTTGATTATTGAACATGGTGTTGTTAAGGGGCTTCACAACCTTCTCAAGAATAGTATCTTGATACACTTGTGCCAATGTTTTGATACCTTTTTCACAAAAGTATGGCTCAGTCACTCCTTCATAGCTAAGACCCCACCAAACCATCACTGAAGTCGGATAGTACCCACGTTGCACTCTGTCGACTAATTGGGAAGCTTCCTTAGAGCTTTGAGCATAAATACGGTCATTTTGTTAGTTAAAATGTTGCTCCATTGTAAAAAAATTCTCATCCGTAAACAAAATTTTTCTATGACCTCCCTTTGCGTACCGCTTCAGTAGTTGTTTCGATTTTACCACCCTATTCTCTTTTAAATTATCAGTTAAGAAATGACCAGTACGTCTCTTATAGGCTGCAATTCCTAAGTCATCTTTTAAAATACACGACATGGTTCTTGGTGCTATCTTCATCTCCCGAGATAAAATCTTTTGCTTTCGGATAGGATATCTTCGAATTCTTTCCCTTACTGCTTTGACCACTTTTTTCGTACGAACACTACGTGGACGGCCAGATCTTTTTCTGTCACAAACAGAGGAGGTCACATTGCACCTATTAATAGCCCAGTACACAAACATTTTACTAATACCAAGCGTATGGAGAGTTTTAAAAATTGCATTTGGCTCCATACCTACTTTGTGTAATGCAATCACATCGATTCGGTTCACTTTATCACCCCACTCCATTTTACTATCGTAAAATATTGTACAATGTATTGGCGCCAAAGTGAGAAAACTCAATGAGCAATCATATAAAAATGACAGATTCCAAATTAAATTTTTTTTTAACAGTATTTATGGCCAGACTAAGTAGTCAGTATTGTACCTAGTACTGTTGTTAGACTTTCCTGGTTTGGAACCCACACATACCAATATGCGAATACGACCTTTCTAATTAAAATGGTCGTATTAAGGCTGTAAAGCATTTCTTGTAGATCCTGCAGCGATTCTGCCATGTTTTCGTCTCCTCGTGGAAATGTACTTACCTTACTTTTACCTTTTATTCTTACAAATATGTACCATTCAGTAACGCCGCTGTAATCCATGCCATAGCAGCTTTCGTTTGCTTGATGAGATACTGCTCCTGTTGCCTTTTTACCAGTATAGTATATAGGAGTAAGGCTTGCGTAGTGAACCTAAAATCAATATATTCTATAAGTTAGAATCTATCATTTGACGAAAAATATATGGTTTTCCGATCTAAACAGATACAGAGAGAAACTAGGTTATAAAAAAAATTTCTCTTGTAGCTGTTAACAATTTATTTCATTATAAAAACGCCATGGAACGAGTCAGCGTCTTATCTATATCAAAAAGCTTTAAATTGATTGAGTGTACTGTGTTGCATTTAATAAAGTACATAAAAAAAAAAATTAAGTTTTACCACACTTTATGCCATATTTTATACATAATACCATTTATTACCATACTTTATACCACATTTTATACAAAATATTTTATATGTATGTGATACGAAGTTGACCACCCGGTCAACTTCGTATCACGTAATCTAATTCTGAATAAATCAATATTGATTTGTAATTATAATTTTCGTAAACAACAAGTTGATGCTATGTTCGTTATGCGGTGACATTACAAGTTAACCTGACAAAATAAAACTGGGCAGAATTAATTATTAAAAATATATGTTGATTATCTTATTTTTATTGATATCCTAAGCGAGACTCGTTTGTTTAAGAGGGCGACAGGAGGGAATCAACAGACCGTCGAGGCGGTGCGCCCGGTATTCGCGGACCTTGTGAATTGTGACTGGGGGCGTCTAACCTTCCGGTCGATGTATTTTTTCACCGGCTTTTGTTTTCCTTTTGCATTTGCTTTCGGGCGGTACCTGCATGACGATGGAGTGCCACTACTGTGAACTGACACCTGATGGTGTCAACGATGCGGCATCCTACTCTGTCGACTTCGTGGAGGGTGCGATAGACTAGGTCACAACTCTTATGTCAGTAGGCTGAGAGGCAGAGTTGCAGCCTATTTGAAGGCGATTTTTTACCGGAGAAGGAGTTTACGAAGGCTCTGGGCGACTTGTTATTCCAGGAGCAAACGCTAGCTTAATGATCGGAAGCACAGCTGGCCCGGAGCGGGTGGGCGGCAAAAATGTGCCGTGGCCCCTCCCCTAACATGTAGAGGCATGGGGCCGATAGCGAGCCCCACCCGGCTGTAGCTGGCTTTGTTGTTGTGTAAATATTTTAATATTGTTACGCGCTGAGGGTTCTGGATAAATAAAATTTCACCAAAGTACGACTCAACTAAAAAACTGTATTCAACACTTAAAACACTTCACAAATACTTTAAAACACTCAACAAACACTTTAAAACTCTCAATTCGCTTGTTCCGCTTCGCTTCAGGTGATCCGTTCGCTGTTTCGCTTCGAGTAGTTCCGATTACTGACTGACTACGTGCCATCTCAACTACGCTTTTATAGCCGATACCTCATCCCTAGAACCATCGAGAATATTCCACACCTCTCTAGTAGCAGTTTCCGCTATTTCACAATAGATGGCGTTGTAATTCTCGAGCAGTCTGGATCCTTCGATATTCGTTCGACTATTCAGCGATAGATAGCGTTATTATTACCGGCGTAACAATATTATGTACTGTAAAACTGCTACTGTAATATAATACTTGTTATAGTAGTTAGTAATTACTTATAGTTAGTAAGTAGGTAGATCAAGCAAAAAATTGGAGCAATGAGCCGCCGGTTGGTGGAATTGCTCTTATAAGCCGCTGCGCGGAGTACTCTGCATGCCGCGCCCTCTCAACGGTCTTACCACCGGTTAGCTCGTACTTTCAAATCGGATACGGTAGTAACCTTGCCTCCCTAGTAGGCTTCCTTTGGGCCGACTTGCAGCGTTCGATGATGACGAAAAAGCAGAGCTGCTGGCCGATAAATTGCAAACCCAGTGCACGCCCAGCACTCGATCTGTGGACCCTGTTCATGTAGAATTAGTACATGGTGAGCACACGCAGAGCCTCCTTGCCACCCTCAAACGCGTTATCATCCGTCACCCTGATGAAAGTTAAAGATCTGATCAAAGACCAAGGCTCCCGGTTCAGACGACATATCTAACCGCGTTATTAAACTTCTACCCGCCCAACTCACCGTGATGTTGGTGTTTATTTTCAATGCAGCTATGACGAACTTCATTTTTTTCACCGTGTGGAAAGAAGCGGACGTCATCGACATACATAAACCCAGTAAACCAAAAAATTATACGACGAGTTACCACCCGATTATCCTCGTCATGTCTCTAGGCAAACTGTATGCGCGCCTATAACCGAACAAAGCCGATCTACACGGGAGTTCTCTTCTTCTACGTCGCAAAAGCGTTCGTTCGACAAAGTCTGGCATAACGATTTGATTTTCAAACTATTCACATGGGCGCGCCGAACAGTCTCGTGCTCATCATACGGAACTTCTTGTCGAAGCGCTCTTTTCGATTTCTTTATTTTTTCTTATCAGCCCACAGACGTCCACTGCTGGACATATACCTCCCCCAAGCCTCGCCACAAAGACCGGTCCTGCGCTGCCTGCATCCAGCGGATCCTCGTGAACCTCAACAGATCGTCGGTCCATCTTGTGGGAGGCCTACCCACGCTACGTGTTCCGTTACGTGGAAGACATAAACTACATAGAAGGCGAAGACGGAAGACTACGTACATCTTGCTGATATCGGGTCGAGGGAATTATTATTCGCTGACGACACGACCGTTTACTACTCCAGTACAAACAAGCCCCTAATCACTCCTTTTTAGCTTGTGTACTAACGACATTCCCCGGTGTAGCCGTGGACCCATTCAGCCTTATTCGCCGACGGCACGACCGCTTACTACTCCAGTAGAAACAGGTCCCTAATTGCGAAGAACCTTAGGACAGTGGTTCCGAAAAGCACAGCGTTGCTACTTCAAAGGGGAAACTCAGCCCGTATTTCCTCCCGCGTTAGGAGGAGGAACCTCAGTCTCCCGATCACTCTCTCTTCGGCCAATCAGTACTTGCGCCAGGAAGGTCCAGTACCTGGGAGTTACCCTGGATGCATCCTTGACATTCCGCCTGCACATAAAATCAGTCCACGACCGTGTCGCGTTTATTCTCAGCAGACTATCTACCCTATGATCTGTAAGCGAAGTAAAATGTCCCTACAGAATATGGTTTATAAAACTTGCATAAGGCCCGTCATAACTTACGCGTCCTTACGGACCCATCAGATCCAATAACTCCTGCATTAGACGCCTTTAGTTTTAACACCGGGAGCAAGTTTAGAGACTCTGGTAGCCTTACTCGTCGAACCTAATCCATACATCAGCCCGCTAAGTTTCACGCCGGATCTTCTCAGCGGGTCGCGATTCCGATCGGATAGTAAATGCATTCACAAAGCACCTACCCTTGAGATGTTAGATCTTCTTCGGAGGCGCTCGGGCAGCTGTTAGCAAATCCCACCACTCTTGGCTGAGCCTTTGCTCGCCCATTTGTCCTGGTGAAACTGAAAAGGCCTCCGGATCATAAGTAATCCTTTTTCCTAAAAAAAAACATAGGCGGATACTTTACTTTTTCGATGTTAACTTCAGTTGCAGATAAAATTGTAAGCTAAATTTTAAATTACTGATCCCTTAAACCGTCTGATCTTTTGACCACTGAATGGACAAAAAAATATGTAAGCATGCACATATATTAGACAATACCGAATTTAATACTTGAATCAAATTGATTTAATTGTATATTTACATTTTAAAAAGAATTACCGTAAAACAATGAATTAGGTTACTATATAATGCAGTTGTTTATTGAATTTGTTTGTCAATTTGGTTATAGCAACATAAGAAAAGTTACCAAATAGTTTATTAAGATGGCCCCGACACCTCAAGACAACAAGATACTAGAAGATGTACCCAAGCAACCTGTCATCGGCGAAAGGGTTGTAATTTCCGGAATGTCTGGCCTGTACCCTGATTGTAAATCTGTTAAGGATTTGGCAGATATTTTGTATAACAAGGTTCGTAACTTGACACTTTAAACTGTGCTATCGTAACATGACGCCCAATTATATCGAGTGATGCGACTGTGCAAGGATCCAAATCCCACATTAAGATAAAATCAATTTCTCTAAAGAAATACGTATCCAATACATGCACATGAACATCTTCCATGATGGAGCAATAACATTGTGTTATAATTTTATAAGCCACTAGCTGACCCGGAAGACTTTTTAGTGCCTCAATCGATAAATAAAAGACCTNAACATGACGCCCAATTATATCGAGTGATGCGACTGTGCAAGGATCCAAATCCCACATTAAGATAAAATCAATTTCTCTAAAGAAATACGTATCCAATACATGCACATGAACATCTTCCATGATGGAGCAATAACATTGTGTTATAATTTTATAAGCCACTAGCTGACCCGGAAGACTTTTTAGTGCCTCAATCGATAAATAAAAGACCTTTTTCCAATTTGTTTACCTTTTAAACCTACTCTGGACTTCCACAAATAATTCAAGACCAAAATTAGCCAAATCGGTCCAGCCATTCTCGAGTTTTAGTGAGACTAACGAACAGCAATTCATTTTCATATAAAAGTATATAGATGATGGTGGTATGGCGAAATACTGTGAAATATCGTAAAGTTGAACTGATAGTTTAAGCCGTACTATCTTCGTTTACCGCGAAGCAGTCATACCTTATGGTTTGAAGGATGGGACCGCTGTTATGTATTTTCAAACTACAATGTAGTGTCCTCAAGGTGTGCAGCAGCATTCACAATATGTCTATGGGTTTCGACCCCAGCGGGGTATTCCGTAGGATAGACCATTCTAACCGGCGCCATCTAGGCGGGCTTCGGATAGCCTGCCGACCGAGAAGGCTGGTGGTCGTGGCGCCGACGATCGCCAGTCCAGCGTCCCGAGAGGGAGGGTGATGGGAGAGATGTGCTCCGCATTAAACGCTTCACTTTCCCCCCTTTGCCTTTTCATGAGTTTTGTCTCATGCGAGGTTTGGACGTTGGTTGTTGAGAGACAGGAGGTTTTAGTCGGTTCGACTCCGACATGCCCCGCCCTCCATCCCCAGTGAAGGGCGGAAGTCCGGCGATTTCCTCCTGACAAAAAAAAAAATGGGTTACGATGATCACTAGTAGCATTGTCTTTAAGTCCAAAACACTATAATAATATACATATAAATGCATATACTAAACATCATACAAAAAAATATACATAAAACTTTCAATTTTAAGTATTTTATGATGTATTAAATCTAATTACTTTACCCTTCTAGAAAGATCCAATAACATCCGAGCGTCAACGTTGGAGTTATTCCCACCCTGAAGTGTCACAATGCACTGGAAAGCTCCTTGATCTTGACCGTTTCGACGCTCAATTCTTCAAGGTACATTTTCGTCTTGGAAACAGCATGGATTCAATGGGAAGAAAAGTGCTGGAGCAAACATATCAAGCAATATATGATGCCGGTAAATAGTTCAATGTTGTTACGATATTACTTAGATAGGCAGACTAACAAAATACTAACTGTACAGAGTACAGAGCTCGAAAGGCATAACCGATATGTAATTCTGTTCAAGTGTGTTAGTGCGACCAACTACTAGGCAGACTTTCATCCACTTTTTTATAAACAAATTCAGTATATTGTTTTTTTTTATAATTTATATCTAAATCCAAAAAAAATCCAAAAAAAGTTAGTACAGTAACTTAATTGATAAGCCCTGAATTGCGCTCACATTTTTAAGAAAAAAATGCATGCATTGGAAGTTCTGAACATAACATTATTTATTTATCGTATGGCATTCGTTTACACTGCGTGGTTATAATTTAAATTTACAGTTTGTGAAATAATCGATAGCTTCTTCTGTTAAATTTAACATTAGGACTGGGTTTTATCGAAAAAAAAAATCCTTCCCTTTGTTAATTTTTACAAATAAATGAAGAGCCTTTTAATGCATGTGCATGCATGAGCATCTGGTTTGTGCTACTAGGACTCAGCGTCGTGGACTTAGGTTAAGGGCTCTAAATCGTGGAGCTCGATAAATCCCAGGCCCTGTTGTTTCGCAGGGCCCGGAGAGCGCCGTCTCAGGGGGCCCACATCGTAATCGGAGGCGTTCGCATCGAGTTCGAGGCGACCGGGTTGCGGTACCTCGGTCTTCTGCTGGACGCTCGTTGGAGCTTCCGCGCTCACTTTGGAAGATTAGGCCCCCGACTGATGGCGGCCGCCGGCTCGCTGAGTCGGCTGTTGCCGAACGTCTGGGGACCTGATGTGGTGGTGCGCCATCTCTACACGGGGGTGATGCGGTCGATGGCACTGTACGGGGCTCCCGGTGGTGCCACGCCCTGACCCGCGACAACGTCGCGGCGTGGCGACGTCCGCAGCGGGCAATTGCGGTCAGAGCGGTTCGCGGGTACCGCACCGTCTCGTTTGAGGCGGCGTGCGTGCCGAGACGCCTCCCTGGGACCTGGAAGCGGAGGCGCTCGCTGCGGATTACGCGTGGCGATGCGATCTTCGCTCCAGGCGGGAGCCGCGTCCCGGCGCGGCGGAAGTCCGAGCGCGGAAGCTTCAATCTCGGCGTGCCGTGCTCGAGGTGTGGTCTCGCCGCCCGGCGGACCCCGCCTACGGGCGATGGACTGTTAAGGCGATCCGCCCGGTCCTCTCGGACTGGGTGAATCGCGACCGAGGACGTCTCACCTTCCGAGCGACGCAGGTGCTCACAGGACACAGCTGTTTCGGCCGCTACCTGCACCTCGTCGCCCAGAGCGAGCCGACGCCGAAGTGCCACCATTGCAGTGGCTGCAACGAGGACACAGCGGAGCACACGCTCGCGTACTGCCCCGCTTTCGCGGCGCTGTATCCTCGTTGGAAAAATAGGACCGGACTTGTCGCTTCCGACCGTCGTGGCTACAATGCTCGGCAGCGACGGGTCCTGGCAGACGATGCTCGACTTCTGCGAGTCCACCATCTCGCAGAAGGAGGCGGCGGAACGGGAGAGGAAGAGCTCTTCTTCCCTCTCGGCGCCGTACCGCTGCCGCCGAGTCGGAGTTGGAGGAGAGCGTTTGTCCAGTTCCGGCCCCTATAAGGAGGCAGTCTCCCCTGAATTGCAGGGGAGTCGTTTAGTGGGTGGGCCCTAAAATTCCTTGGGCCCGCGGTCTGTTCTCAATACCTGCAGATCATTGAGTCCCACATACACCGCGCGCCTCCTAGGCGCGGGGACGTCGTAGGAGGATCGGCCCCCGGCCCGAAAAAAAAAAGAAGGTTTCTAGATCGTCGACTATCGCTTCGACGACCCGTCGGTCGGGCGTCTTCGGCCTGGCGCCGCGAGTCTGGTTGTAGTGTTGACCGCGGGAAACCTTCTAGTCTGACCGGGTGCTGACCCCGGACGAAGATTGGACGTTGGTTGTAAGCGTGCAGTGCAGTCGTTTAGTGCGGTAGGGCCTTAAAACACCCTGGGGCCCACAGTCTGCTCCCAACATCTGCAGATCGCCAAGTCCCACCTACCTGGTCACCCCAAGTCACGCCTAGGAGATGCGCGGGGACTCCGCAGAAGGTTCGGGCCCAGCCCGAAAAAAAAGCCTTCTAAGTAAGCTAAAGCTGAAGCTTTTCACGAATTGATATTATGCCGCGAGTTCATTAAATTGTCTGAGTTAATCATTAATAAATCACTTTCCGAATCTCCGAAATCAAGAATGGTATCGTATCGATCGGCATAACACAAAAGTGTTTTTTTCCATTTCGTGTCATTAAAATAACTAAACACTACTTTCGTTCCTGATCAAGAAGTATAATTTCATTGTTTGTTTGATATTTATCTATTACTAGCGACCCGCCCTCGCTTCGCTTCGGAAACATGAAAACACACATGAAACCAAAAAAATAAAATAAAAAAAATAAAAAAAAAGTAGCCTATGTTCATCAGGGACAATGTTGGCTTCTAATGGAAAAATATTTTTTCAAATCGGTCTAGTAGTTTCGGAGCCTATTCGAAACAAACAAACAAACAAATCTTTCCTCTTTATAATATTAGTATAGATAGCGACCCGCCCTCGCTTCGCTTCGGAAACATTAAAACACACATGAAACCAAAAAAAATAAAATAAAAAAAAAGTAGCCTATGTTCATCAGGGACAATGTTGGCTTCTAATGGAAAAAGAATTTTTCAAATCGGTCCAGTAGNAGTGACACAACATTACTATTTAAAAATGTATTTATTGCTTTTCGAAGTATTCTCCGCGAAATTTGACACATTTTTCCATACGATGGAACCAATCATTGAAGCAACCATTCCATTCGGAAGTTGGGGTCTCCAAAATGGCCGTTTTGTAGGCGTCCACAGCTTCTTCAGGTGATGAAAATCTCTGTCCACGCAATTTATTCATTATTTTCGGGAAAGTATAGAAATCATTAGGGCTTAGGTCGGGGCTGTACGGCGGATGGTCTAATAATTCTATGTTTTCTTGCTCACAAAACTCTTTTGTTCTGTGCGCGGTGTGAGAACTCGCATTGTCGTGATGGAGGATGATGCGGCGGTTGCAGTTCTCTTTACGGAGTTCAGAAACGACCTGAGGCAAACAAATGCTAGCATACCATTCTGCATTATCCGTTCTTTGTCCCTCAAGAGGAATAGTCGTAACATGGCCGATTTTGGAGACAAACGTGGCCACCATTTTTTTTGCAACACTCCGTGAACGAACAATTTTTGTTGGCTTTAACTCATTTTCGAACACCCAAACTCGTGACTGGTTTTCGGGTTCGTACGCGTATATCCAGGATTCGTCACCTGATACAATGTTGTATACAGCATTTGAGGATCCTGCGTGGAATCTTTCGAGAGTTCTGAAGCAACCAAGGTTTTGGATGGGGCTTCATCACCAAATGCAGAAATCATCCGGTCAACACACTGTTTTTGTGTTAAACCACTTCGAAAGTCATAATAAATCATCGCTCTTGAATTTTCTCGAGTCAATTCCATTTTCTCAACGACTAAACAGGTTTGACAAAACCTCGGGACAAGACCGAGAATCTTTTTTAAATAAATAAATGGTATCCGATTTTTAAAACCAAGGAGTTTTCAATTAAAAAGATTTTAATATGACAGGAACAGTGGAAATATTCCATTTCCGATACTTTTAGTGCAGCCCTCGTAAATTGTCTGAGTTAATCATTAATAAATCACTTCCCGAATCTCCGAAATCAAGAATGGTATCTTATGGATCGGCATAACACAAAAGTGTTTTTTCCTTTTCGTGTCATTAAAATAACTAAACACTACTTTCGTTCCTGATCAAGAAGTATAATTTCATTGTTTGTTTGATATTTATCTGTTATATCGTACCTAGAGGATTCATGAGGTACAAATATTGTCTTACATGATGAAAAATCATTCCTAGAGCACCCGTTTTTTCCCGTAATTCCGTGTTTACATCGAGTTAATTTTTATTAGAAATTTGTATTTTATTATTTTTCATTGTAGGAGGCATTGTAAAGTGAGAACAGCTTTTCTAGTAAGTCTATTAATCTAATAGTGAATAATATCCCTGAAAGCGGTGCAAATCTCGTCCGCAGTGTCTGTCTTTACAAATTTATGATTACTTTCTTTACGTTTGCGGATGCGCGAATAGATAGATAGCTTCGCAGCAATCATTCGTGAACGAATCGCTTCCCTGATTTGCCGCGTGCGGTTCAGTCGCAGCAGCTACCTGCGGCTGTTCGCCACGCGGTTGGATCTAGACTGCCCAATAATGTAACACTGGACACGTGTGCATATTGAGCACTCTGGATCCAAACCAGCCTTTAGATTAAGGTAGTTTTGACATTCATTTTTGTTTTATTATTATTTTTATTTTATTCCGAAATTGTTTTTAATTTTTATTTTTTATTTTTTTTGCTATGTGAAATGTTATTATTAATTAATGTAATATGAATGCAAGATCTGAAGTAAATTAATAAAATAAATATGTCTTCTTTTGGCTTTCCGTGTTGCCCAATTCCCATGTGCCATGATAAGAGAATACGCTTGCGGTAGGCAGCGGCTTGGCTCTGCCCCTGGCATTGCTGAAGTCAATGGGCGACGGTAACCCCTCACCATGAGGTGGGCCGTATGCTCGTGTGCCTACAAGGGCAATAAAAAAAAAAGAGATATGCTCCGATCCCACATAAAGTGGGATAAGGGAAAGGAGAAAGGAGACGAAGAAGGCTTTGTCTTCATAATATTTCGCTCTTCACAACATCAAAGTTATTATATATTGGGTACAATTGGGTATACCAATATCCCGCGTTATTCTGTTAACAGGTGTTAGTCCACAAGACCTTAATGGAAAAAAAGTAGGAGTGTACATTGGGACATGTTTCTCTGAAACTGAAAAGGCTTGCTTTTATGTAGCAAGCTCTAGGACAGGTTTTGGCATTGCAGGGTAAGTTACACAATTTTAAAATGTTTTTTTTTTTTCATATAAATATTGAAGGGCTGTTTTTTTTTTCTCATATAAATATTGAAGGGCTGCCAGTATTAAGTGATTACTGAGGCTCATAGGATTGCCAGGTTAAAGTGACAGTGGGTAGGATACATTGTTCGTGGAACGTATTGCCGCTGAGTCCAAAACGTTATCTAGTGGCGACGGCGTACCGAAAGACCTAGCCTACGTAGATCCTCTCGACGATCTGCTCAAGGCCGTGGGAATCCACTGGATGCAGGCAGTGAACACCGATTGTTGTGGCGAGGCTTGAGGTGGGTCCATGTCGAGCAGTGGATGTCTGTGGGCTGGTAGATAGAGGTTTTTTTTATTGCCCTTGTAAGCAGACGAGCATACGGCCCACCAAAAGGTGAGTGGTTACCGTCGCCCATGGACTTCAGCAATACCAGTGGCAGAGCCAAACCACTGCCTACGTCTTAATACTCTCCACAAGCCTCGTTTGAAGAAGGACATGTCATAGAGGTCCACAGATTCCTCAATTTTAATGCTCCCTGCTTCCATTATGGTTGGAGTAAATTGCCTGGGATAACGATAGGACAATTCCGATTCATGATTAACTCAAAATGTGGATTACGTCGTGCAACATAGAAATCATAGAAAAAGTTGGATTAAAAATGAAGGTAAATAAAAAGGCTACTACTACACATAATAATGACAAGAACTGCGATTTTTATTGTCATTATATTCTTGCCGAAATTTCAAAATATTTACAGTTTTCGTCGTCACGGACAAAACGCACCGATCAAGTTGATCGACATTCAACGGTAAAAGTGAATTAATTAGGACTAGGAGTCGCAAATATTAAAAAACAAAATCTTATACTACTTCAGCTCAATCAAGATGGACATATACTTTTTTTTACTGAACTAAGTACCTGCAATTATTTTTGTCATTCTAGGTGCAGCAAAACTATGTTTGCAAATCGTATTTCATACTGGTTGAATGCCAAAGGACCGTCGATGGCAATAGACGAAGCTTGTTGTAGCTCTACTGCAGCAATTGAGCAGGCCTACCTTGCCATCACTCGAGGGGAATGCGAAGCGGCTATCGTTGGAGGAACTAACCTATGCCTTCATCCACATTCCTTAATTCATCACGGAAGGTAAACATGATCTTGTAAATATTGTCCAGTTTTGATTTAAAATTGCAAAGTGTGTTCGAAATCACTCTGTGGGTTTTGAGTTTGTTACCACGGCAACACACGCGAATTGACGGGGCATTCTTGTCTTGACATCGGTCACTTCTCGGTTGGCAAGATAGATTCGCGGGTTGGCCGCGCAGCCACGGTATCCCAGACTTTCCCTACCACATCCTCATCCTAAAACCTCCAATCCTACGACGCAATACTACGAGATCATCGGTTTGTGGTGAGTGATAAGCTAATAATCTCTTAAGAAAATAAATCACGGCGCCGCGCGATTGCGGCATGTGTTCAACAGGCACCTCGTGCTGATTTCCGGAGCCTTAGGTTACCACGAGGGGGCTGCATTCGGATTGAACAAAGTAGTAAGATTGAACGAATTTAAAATATTAACAAACTGTATTTATTAATTCTAGGCTCGTGACTATTTGCATGGATGCGAAAACGAAATCCTTCGATCAAAACGCCGATGGTTGTGCCAAATCGGAAGCTATAAACGTTTTATTTCTTCAGAAGGCCGAAAATGCGCTCAGGTAAAAAAAAGCTCAAAATTTTATGACTTCCAAAATGAAACAATATTTTGGAAATTATAAGAAAACAAATCAAAAAAAATTCTACTACGTAAGCTGCGTTAACTTTCAGAGTTTACGCAGAAATTGTTTTTGTGAAAACAGAATTTACGGCTTTACCGAATGCCGTAACCGGACCAAAGTTTGGATTTTGTCGTGATCCAGAAGTCATTGCGAATTTCCTCAAGAAATTTTATGAAAATGCTGGAGTGTCACCTGAAGCTGTCGAATACGTAGAAGCTTTTGGGTCAGGTGAATAAATATTTATTACTGTATTCCAGTTATAGCACAATATCATGCATGATTCAAAGAGTTCCCTACGAGTTTTCTACGAAACAATCAGTAAATGAATAACTGAAGTAATTGTATTGTACTGTACTTATGTAAAAAGGTCATTAAAAAATAAACCTTAATAATTTAATATTTAATTAATAATCAAATGTTAGGATGTAACAGGTGGATAAATCCACAACTTTGCAACATTTTTTTAGCTGTATCTGAAGCGGATCGATCAGAACTAGAGACTATCGATAAGGTCTTTTGTAATAACAGAAATGATCCTCTACTGGTCGGCAGTGTGATGTCAAACATAGGATACAGTGAAGCTGCTACCGGAATCTCCTCCATTACAAAGGTTACTAAAATTTTATTATACTTTGTAATTGATTGATTGCGAGATTTAAACACTGGCATACATAGGCGGCACTGAAAATTTCGAGAATTAACGAAGTGACACAACATTACTATTGTAAAAATGTATTTATTGCTTTTCGAAGTATTCTCCGCGAAATTTGACACATTTTTCCATACGATGGAACCAATCATTGAAGCAACCATTCCATTCGGAAGTTGGGGTCTCCAAAATGGCCGTTTTGTAGGCGTCCACAGCTTCTTCAGGTGATGAAAATCTCTGTCCACGCAATTTATTCTTTATTTTAGGGAAAGTATAGAAATCATTAGGGCTTAGGTCGGGGCTGTACGGCGGATGGTCTAATAATTCTATGTTTTCTTGCTCTAAAAACTCTTTTGTTCTGTGCGCGGTGTGAGAACTCGCATTGTCGTGATGGAGGATGATGCGGCGGTTGCAGTTCTCTTTACGGAGTTCAGAAACGACCTGTGGCAAACAAATGCTAGCATACCATTCTGCATTAACCGTTCTTTGTCCCTCAAGAGGAATAGTCGTAACATGGCCGGTTTTGGAGACAAACGTGGCCACCATTTTTTTGCAACACTCCGTGAACGAACAATTTTTGTTGGCTTTAACTCATTTTCGAACACCCAAACTCGTGACTGGTTTTTTGTTTCGGGTTCGTACGCGTATATCCAGGATCCGTCACCTGATACAATGTTGTATACAGCATTTGAGGATCCTGCCTGGAATCTTTCGAGAGTTCTGACGCACCAAGTAACGCGAGCCGCTTTTTGCTCTTCACAGAGCGAATGCGGTATCCATCGGGAAAACAACTTTTTTACACCTAATTGTTCATGCAAGATTATTTGTATTTGACTCATGCCAATATCTAAAGTTACCTGAATTTCGCGGTATGTCACATGTCGATCTTCCTCAATCAGCTTACGCACAGCATCAACGTTTTCTTGGGTGACTGCAGTTTTTGGACGACCTTGACGGGGATCATCACTGAGCTTGACACGTCCACGTTGAAACTCAGCAAACCAGCGATAAATTGTGGTTTTGGATGGGGCTTCATCACCAATGCAGAAATCATCCGGTCAACACACTGTTTTTGTGTTAAACCACTTCGAAAGTCATAATAAATCATCGCTCTTGAATTTTCTCGAGTCAATTCCATTTTCTCAACGACTAAACAAGTTTGACAAAACCTCGTGACAAGACCGAGAATCTTTTTTTAAATAAATAAATGATATCCGATTTTTAAAACCAAGGAGTTTTCAATTAAAAAGATTTTAATATGACAGGAACAGTGGAAATATTCCATTCCCGATACTTTTAGTGCAGCCCTCGTAGTTGCATGGTTCGTTATAAGTACATTAGTGGTCATCCGCTTTTAGGACACGACGACTGATGCCTTTTATTAGGTATGATCTAACAGCTCTATGGCAAGACCAGGCCAGAAGGGTCGTCGTACCCCCGTACGGGGGCACGGAACGGGCCTCGGGGCAAACCCCACTGCCCGGGCAGAAGCTCCCTGCCACTCAGGGCAAGGGTGAAGTATGTGCAGGATGAGATGGGAGGGGAGCCGTTCGCAGCGTGTTCAGCACACTTACATCGACATATAAGTATATAAATAACACGATGGCTTGATTAAGCGACGGATCGATGCCCACGGATGTGACACCCTAGTGCCAGCAGCTGTCATTGGTTTTTTTTTCTCCTTACTAAATAACTACATCTAACTAAACTAAACTAACTATAACTAACTACAACTATTATATATGACGGCGCCAGCTATGGTTGAGCGTTAGTTTCAGTCATCACTCGTATTCGGTTGAACTTAGTTTATTACAGTAAAAGTCAATAAAACCTTTTAAATAATAATTATTGAAACTCTCAACAAATAATTTTCACAATGACAGGGTAAACCGACAGTTTCGTTTCAACTGACCGACTGACAGACTGACTGACACTGACTGACTGCCTGAGACTGAATGACATACTAACAGACTGACTGACTGAGACGGAATGAGACGACTCTGTCCACGTACCGCCATTTTATACTCTGGCGTTACGGCGTCTACCCTACATTTTTGTGTGTTGTGGGTTTATATTAGTAAATAGTTTTTCAGTCGATCGTGGGTGCCATGACGAAAAACCAAGCCAATAAAACCTATAAAACTCTCACCAGTGGCTCCAAGTAGCTGCAATGCACGCAGCGGCCAAACCCCGGCAAACCGCGTCGACTCGCGGGCCAAACTGGTTGAGGGGGACAAGCAATTGAACAAGCTTGTCTATTATCATACCCAAAATGCGGTACTCCCCGCAGTGCATAAAGTCTATCCCGGCGGTGAAGGCAATACGACCGCTGATAAGCGTCTGAGGTTGGCGGACCCGGCAGGGTAGCAAGGCATCGTGAGAAGGCTAAAGGTGGCGGGAGAAGCTGATTGTACTGCCACCTAGATCACTTCGGTGCTTCGTCTGCTTCGGTGGTGAAGGCAATTCTTAAGCTGATAAGCGACTGGTTTTGGTGGATCCGGCGTGGCAGCAAGGCATTGTGTTAAGGCCAAAGGTGGCGGTGAGAGTAATCTTGCTTCTGCATAAAACACAGCATCCTGTTTTCTTCCAATTGTAGCGGGTTTCCGTTCCATTGGGGTCCAGAAAGCAAAGGACGAGAGAGTGTATTTGTGTGAGGCGCAAACAGTTATGCACTTAGAAAATGGTAATCTGCGCAGTTTAATATTTACCGGACGCTGAAACTAAGTCCTCTGGCGATGGACAAAGGTAGAGAGGTCTGATACTGATGACACAGAGGCGGCATAGGGAAAGTGGTCGCTTCTGCATCAACCCGGAGTAACGGTGCAATTCGGCAGCACACTATGCGACGAAGCTGCTCTATTTAGAGAAGCACAGCTTCCCCCGCTCAGCCGGGAGGGGGCTAGAAAAGGTGCCCTAAAGTAACGCTTGCTCCAGAGTTAAGGGGAGGTGGTAACCACGGCTGCCTAAGCATCCCAATAAACGTGGTCGACGCTACTATAGAAATAAAACAATAACTAAATCAATGTCTTTCGGCGCGTGGAATGTGCGCACTTTGTTAGACCGGCCCAGCAACATATGCCCTGAACGGAAAACTGCTATAGTTGCGAGAGAGCTCCAGCGCTATAATGTGGATATTGCTGCCCTGAGCGAAACCCATGTAGCTGACGAAATGACAGAGCGAGGTGGTGGTTAAACGTTTAACTGGAAGAGCACACCGGCTACAGACCCGAGGCGCTCAGGGGTTGGGTTTGCAATTAAGACAGAAATAGTGAATAGACTTAACGAACATCCTGTTTACATATCCGATCGCGTAATTATTATTATTATTAAATTCTTTATTTCAGATAATAATCCATATAAATGTTAGTAACAGTTATTTCTTAATATTCGTAATTACTCGTAATAATTTCGTAATAACTTTGCGTGTCCATTTAAATGAAAAAAATATTCTAAATGCTATTAGTGCCTATGGGCCAACGATGGATAATACGGATGAAACTAAGGGCAGGCTCTATGAAGAGGTCACTCAAGTTCTTTCCAGAATTCCGAATAGGGAACAAGTTGTTTTGCTTGGTGACTTCAATGCAAGAGTAGGGCGTGATTTTGAAGTATGGCCTAAAGTTTTGGGCAGGCATGGTGTGAATGAATATGAACAGCAATGGCCAACTACTGCTTGATTTTTGTTCCAAATTTAAGTTAGCTATTGCCAACACCATGTTCCGCCTCTCTGCCAAATACAAAACCACGTGTAGGCACCCGAGGTCAAGGCATTGGCATCTTATTGACTACGCCATTGTTCGTCAAAGAGACATTGCTCATGTTCATTTGACTCGAGTAATGCGAGGGGCTCACTGTTGGTCGGATCACAAACTAGTAATCTCAAGGTTACAGATACTACTTCATCCTCCTTCTAGATCTGGTAAAGCTCAAGCTAAGTGAATAGACTTAGAGAAACTGCAAGGCAACGAAGTGAGAGGTATTTATAAGCAACAGGTAAGTGAGTACGCATCGCAAGTGGATATTGAGGGTGGTGACATGCAACTAAAACGGTGTGACTTTACATATCAGATAATCAAAATTGCTTCTGACACGCTTGGTTTACAAAAGCGAGTTAATGAGGATTGGTTTGATGAGAATAATGAGGTCCTTGTCGTTGCTATTGGCCGCCATCGGGAGTTACTAAGGAATCAGATTCGCACTTCATAATGTAAACCATAGTGAGAGAGTCAAACTCAGAAAGTTGACGCGAAGTATTAAAGATAAGTGGTGGCTAGAGAAGGCTAGCTACATGCAAATGCTATCTGATAGAAATCAGCTTGGACTTTTTTTTGGTGAAGTGCGGAAGATTGTTGGGCCACAGTATAGGGTTAATGTACCGTTGAAGGCTGCAGATGGTCGTTTAATATCTGATAAGAGGGAGTTGTTGCAGCGGTGGGCTGATAATTTCCGATGTTTGCTGGATGTTGACCGTACGGCGGATATTTCTTACATTAACCTACCTAGAAGAAGAGAAGCTACCAGAGCGTCCGAAACTTCTTCAGTTGGATGATGAACCTACTCTTTCGGAAGTAGTTTGTGCAATTCAGCAGCAACGTAATAAGAAGGCTGTGGGTTTGGACAACATCGCTGGAGAATGATTAAAGTACGGTGGGGATGAATTGCATGTTGCTCTGTGGAAATTTTTCCGAAGAATGTGTACCCAAGTCTTTCAGGGAGTCGAACATATGTGCTCTGTACAAAAACAAAGGTGATCGTGCCGATTGTAATTCGTACAGAGACATATCACTTCTTTCGGTTCCTGGAAAAGTGTTCGCTAGGCTCCTTCTCAACCGTCTTATGAAATTGTCTGAAGCAATACTGCCTGAGACACAATTTGGTTTTCGGCCAGGTCGGGGAACTTGCGATGATATATTTTCGATTCGCCAGCTGCAAGAGAAAAGCAAGGAGTAGTTACAGCCGCTATATCTCTGTTTTGTCAATTTAGAGAAAGCCTTCGATAGTGTTCCCCGCGAAGCTTTATGGGTGCTATTGCTTAAATTGGGATGTACGGAAAAGTTTCTTAGAGTTTTGATACTACTGCATGATTATATGGGCTGTTGCGTTGTGGCTAATGGTGACCAATCTAGATTCTTCCCAGTAAGTTGTGGCGTAAAGGAAGGTTGTATCTTGACCCCAACACTATTTGTGCTGTACTTTTCTCTGACCGTGGGAAGGGCTACAGAAACGTCTAATAACGGAGTTCATTTGCGTTTCAGAGCAGACGGGAATATTTTTAATATTGGAAGACTGAGAGCTTGCTCCAAGTGTTCACTTAAGATCATCACGGAGATTGTGTATGCCGATGATCTTTGCTTTGTTTCTGACAGCCCAGTTGGTCTTCAGAAACTTATGACCAATCTTAATAGTGCCTGTCAGATATTTGGCTTGAAAATTGACATCACTAAGACAGAAGTCATGGCTATGGACCGCACGGAGCTTGCTGTACCTGTCGATGATTGTGTGCTTAAACAGGTTGATAAGTTCAGGTACCTTGGTAGTGTGATAACAAATAAAGGAGACCTCGATGCGGAGATAAATGCTCGGGTTGGTGCTGCTTCGGCGGCATTTGGGAAGCTCCGGGATAAGGTGTTTCGTTCGCATGACCTTTCTCTAAACACTAAAATAAAAATGTACACGTCAATTGTGTTGCCTAATCTGTTATACTCCTCAGAAACATGGTGTTTGTATCGTAAACATATACGCGTGTTGGATAGATTTCACCTTAAGTACTACCGAGAGATAATGAACATATCGTGGTCACATCGTGTCAGGAATACGGAGATTTTAAGAAGAGCCGGTATTGGCGGTATAGAGGTTTATTTAATGCGGCGTCAGTTGCGCTGGTGCGGCCATGTGATGAGGATGTCCGACGAGAGGATAACAAAGCGCATCTTCTACTCTGAACTCCAGACTGGCAAGCGAAAAGGGGCGGCAAATTCTTAAGGTATAAGGATGTTCAGAAGAGGTATATGAAGAAATGCAACATTGACCCCTCTCGTTGGTCGGGAGGCCCAAGCACATAATCGTTTGCAGTGGAGACTAGGAGACTTTTAAGCTATTGAACTGAAAATTTTGGTCGCCGTTGCCGAAACCGGCTTTGAACCATGATGATGATGATGACCCTACATTTTTGTGATATTTATCAAAACAGCATTTTATCATTTAAAATAATAATCAAAACAATGTCTTAGTATTACTAAAGTCGTTATCCACAACACTGCCAACCTGACAGGTTACACGTCATCGTGAGCTCCTGTAACAAATAATTACATTTGGAGTAACAGGGTAATCTCGATCATCCCGACCAGATCGTAGTAAATCTAAAAACTGAACCATAACAATAATTGACAACACAATGTCAAAACGCAATAATCAGAAACTATAACAACTCAAATCGTATAAAACGCTCAGGGCTTGGCCGCCAGCGCAGCTAGTGGACATTGATGCCACCCACATTATCATTACCACAAATGATAAAACCAATACACATCAATTCACAGTATAGATTCAGCGACTCCCAGCGGCGTGCTTGCTCGCCGGGGCGCCACCTTGGGACCTGGAGGCGGAGGCGCTCGCTGCCGATTACAGGTGGCGTAGCAACCTCCGCTTTAGGGGGGAAGGGCGCCCTGTCGAAGGTGTAGGTCTGTGCTGAAGGCGTGGTCTCGCCTCTTGGTGGACCCGTCGGCCGGCCTCCGTACCGTCGAGGCGGTCCGCCCGGTTCTCGCGGACGTCTCACCTTCCGGCTTACGCAGATGCTTAGCGGCCACGGATGTTTTGGCCGGTACTTGCACAAAATAGCCGGAAGGGAACCGACGGCGTAGTGCCACCATTGCGCAGACCGTGACGAGGAAGACACAGCGGAACACACATTGGCGCGTTGCTCTGGATTCGACGAGCAACGCGCCGCCCTCGTCGCGGTCATAGGAGATGATCTCTCGATGCCGCGCGTCGTGGCTACGATGCTCGGCAGCGCGCGTCCTGGAAGGCGATGCTCGACTTCTGCGAGTCCACCATCTCGCAGAAGGAGGCGGCGGAACGAGAGAGGGAGAGCTCTTCCCTTTCCGCACCGATCCGTCGCCGTCGAGCCGGGGGCGGGAATGCGCCCGTACGTCCCGGCCCCTGTAGGTAGCGGCCTCCCCCCGGTGAAGGTCAAGGGGCGACCTGAGGGGGTGAGGCCGCGCGGCGCGCTACCAGCACTCTAGCGCGCTGCCGTGGAGTGAATAGAGCGACCGGTCGACGGTGTATCGCGTCCCGACCCGGCAGGCTGGTTCTGGTCCAGCGGGGTATTCCGGGACACCAGCGGCACCGTCTGGGCGGCCCGACGGGCTGCCGTACCGAGACGGCCGACGTTTCAGAGCCTTCGATTCGCCTCGAAGGCTCCGTCGGCTGGGCGTCCTTGGGGTGAGCCGCGCCGTCTGGTTGTAGTGTTGACCGCGGTAGCCCCCCTACCTCATCCGGGTTCTGACCTCGGAGGGGATCGG